TGACCAACAATTTAATTTACTAGTGCATTCAACCATTTAATTTACAATATGTAACCATTAATGACCAACAAACTATAGAACATAGTTAAAAAAAAAACAGAAGAGAAGAAGATAGGATCCGAATGGTGACATCGAATTGTGCAGTGCGGATAAAAAAATTGTGCGGTTGTGTTAAACTTTACATTATAATTATAAGTTTGGTTTACGCGCCAAGATATTTTATATGTTAAACAATTTCTTAGTATTATCTACTTTATGGTGTAATAGTGGCTGTAAAATGTTCATTTTGTAGGTTGAAAGAATATGATTTGAGTAAATATGTATAGCTATATCACTTATATTTGCCAAACTATCTAAAAATATATAAGGAATACAAAATTCTTCCATTGGTTTTGGAAATTAGTTTGAGTTTTTTTTGGGTAACAATTAGTTAGTTTGTAATTAGTTCTGAAATTTTCTAGTTTTATAAAAAAGAACATCTAATATTTGTGGAACTCCACGATACCATATTAAGGACTTGAAAATTAATTTTAGTAATTAGTGTAAAAAACGCATTATACAACTTTGGGATACTATTGAAGCAAGAATATTAAAATATTTCAACTAAGTGATAAGACAAGTCTTCTTCCCACATTCCTTCCCACTATACTAGTCATATGCTGCCACATTTGCTCGTGTGTGTGATTAAATATTTAGTTTTGCTCCATTAAGACCTGACCTAACCCTACCTATATCATCACCCATATGTAAATGTGGATGCTATGTATTCAACATATGTAAACACATATCTAGAAAACTGATCACTAACACCAAAAGATAAAGCACATAACACAGTTAGGTGATCTACATATATCCATATAATTCTAATACTCTATCATAAAATTCACAACAAAACTCATCAAATTGTTGTGTCGTATGGTTTTAATTTAAGACTTTTATGAAACTGTACAAAAATGTACGCGTAAGTTAGGTTTTGTTTGCAAGAAACTCAAATTATAATAATTTATGGTCTATGCAAAAAGTAAAGTATTTCACCTCTTACATTTACATGTGTCACATGTAAAACCACCATCAATCACATTTTAAGTGAAGTGGTACTGGTACCG